ACTAGCGGGAAAAGAACTAAGCATGGAATGACGCAAAAGGAAAACTGTATTTCATTGAGTAAACAACAAGACAAACAACCTAAAATCCGAGTTACAGCCCTAAATAACCCATCAAATGAAAATAGCAACAGAACAGAAAGATAAGACTCACACAAACCGAATGGGGGGATAAAAGGGTTTGACTAGATAAAACAAATAAAATCTGGATCACAACCCTAAAATAACTCAGCTAATAGAAAAAACATCAAAACAAACTACCAAGATTCCTTCCTAGTGAGGAGGGAATGACTTTTCAATTGCTAAGCTTGACATTTAGCCACAAATTTGCTCATCAGAATCAGCAGAGCCTTCTCCAATTTCAAAATCATTAACTTCAGTTAGCAAATTCCCGAGAGGATTCTCATGCTTCCTGTCACCACGCATCATCCCCACAAAGTGTGCATAATCATGTGCAGGTAAAGGATTCTGCGCGCTATTCTGGGTGTCACTGTCTTGGATCACAATCAGGTTTTCCTGGATCATCCTTTCTATTTCTCTTTTCAAATCCCGATAGCTTTCAACATTGTTCCCCTGGTCATTGGAATGGTATTCACACCTTTTAGAAGGGTTAAAGCTTCTCGCACGTGGGTTCACATGATTTGGAGGAATAGGTGCAATCATGTCATAATGCTTTAACTTCTCAAATAAGTTTGCATAGGACTCTCCTATTGGTGTAAAATTATCTTTCAACCTTTGTTCCCCTTTATACCTCTGGCTTGGATGTGGGTTATAGGGCACCTGAAAATTTTGTGGAGGTTGTTGGAGATTTCGTGATGCTTGTGCTCGTCTTCTGGGGTGTTTTGGTGGCTGGACAACATACTGAGGTGGAGCGACAGAGTATTGAGGGTTCTGAGGTGGATAATACTGCTTAGGGGGGTTATCGGAAAACAGACGAGGTTGGTCATACCTTCGAGACGCTCTCCTAGGACCTCTTCTCGACCCTAATGTCATCATAATTTCTCAACCTTCTCATTCGTGTCACTAAAATTATCAGATTTGATCTGGACAGCCTGAGTTGCGGCTTTGAGAACTGCTTGACTTATAATTTTTCCTGTCAAGCTCTTCTGCTATTTATTGTTCCATTGAGTTTTTTTTTTGAGATAATTTCACTGTTCGAGTGTTGAATCTGGGCTAATTTCTGCTGCTGCTTGCTGATCTCACTTTCTTTTGGCTTTGTTGTTCAATACCAGGTAACATCTCAAAATGTGGACAACAATTTGATTGCAAACATGTGTTTTGAATGAAAATTGGATTGAATCCAAGTTGTAATTGGTTGTTATCTCTTTTGTTTTCTACTTTCTTTCAACATTCTATAGTTTTTTTTAAATATATTTGCCACTGAAGTTTTCTGATTATTCAAGTATGGCAAAAATAAGTGTGTATTCTTGAGAACTTGGCATAATGTCAGACTTTGGGTGCTTGAAGTGTTTTGCTCTTTAAGTTTTGTGATTAGTGAAAAATGTGTTCTAATTCGGAGTTTAGTTTAAATGGATTATATCGTGTTACATGTGTTTTGGATGGTGAAGAGATCTGATTATTATTCACATGTTATTTCAATCTTTGATTCTGGTACTCACATATTTAAAAGAATGAGTTCAGGTTGGGTTTTTTATCCAAATAATTAGCATGTTGTCTTTTGTGGATTGATTAGTGTTAGTATTGAAAGGTGTTTGGTTTGAATTTCCATGAGGAATTTGTAAGCTCAGTTTGTATTCGAATCCAAACATAGACATCTGATGAATTTGAAATCAAACAATTGTTCCTGATGGTGTTAAAAATAGTCTGGTGTACTAGTTACTAAGTGATAGTGAGATCTGTTGGTTTGCGACTAAGTGTGAAAGAGTCATTTGCTTTGATAGAGACTCGATGTTGAGTCTATGATCCTCATCCCCGGTCCTGCATGGTTTGGGCTCATTGAGTGTAGGGCCTTGAGAGGATCCGCAACTAAAAGTGGCCGGCATTTTGCTTTTGACTTGTTCTTCGAGCCCAATGGCTCGTTTTAGTAGCCAATTAGCCCAAACGTGTGCGTAATTTTAAAATCATGAAAGCTTGATAATTAATTGGTGTTTGACGTTTAAAATCAAAGCTTAATTTGCTAAGTCAAGCTCATTCCATGGTAGCATCAGTAATTGGCATTAGTTGAGTGGCTTGAATAATGTGGGGCGTAAGAGTTGGGCCTAATGCAAGCCCAGCTGAGAATCAATCAAACTCAGGCGCTTTTCTTCTTTAATTATTTCGTCAATTTAGTTTTCCTTATGCAGTTGGTTCATGTTACGAATTTCAGTTAATTAGTATGGTCGAACTATGAGCTCATGGTCACTAAAACTCCGTAAGTTTTCTTTAATTATTGGATTGGGCCTTTGATTAATGGAGGTGAGCTATATTAAATGACACATATAGTTTTTGGCCCTTCGAAATTTAGTTTGAATTCCCTCTTTAAATTAGAATTGAGATGTGTCTTGCCAAACAAAAATAACAATTGCACGGCCCTCATTTAATTAATCTTGTTTATCCTTAGAAATCGAGGCGTGTTATTTAGCGAATTTTCATGGCCCTCGCAAAGTTGCAAACGCGTAGTTGCTTTAGGCGCGTTGTTTTAATAATTTACTTTCCTAAACTCGGGTGCGCATTTATGTGACCCAAATCCAAATTCCAACAATGTTAGATAAAATATGTCAAGAGTCGCGGGTGCATTTATGTGACGTGGTTCAAGACGTATTTTAAATGATGTTACAATTCTCCTAAAAATAAATAAAGCGGTTATAAAATTTAAAATCGCACTATAGGCTAAAACATGTATTGAAACCAGACAATAGGCCAATTATAACAGTTGAGCGACCGTGCTAAAACTACGGAATTCTGGAATGCCTAACATCTTCTCCCAGATTAACAGAATTCCTTACCCGAATTTCTGTGTTCACGGATTGTAAAACAGAGTGAATCTTTTCCTCGATTCGGGATTTGAACCGGTGACTTGGGACACCATAAATTATCCCAAGTGGCGACTCTGAATTTTGAATAAAATAATCTCGTTTCGATTGTCACTTTAAGTTGGAAAAAACACTCTTATATACCCTTTACGGAGGTGTAGGTAAAAAGGAGGTGTGACATACGGTACCTTGAATTAAGGAGGGATATACGCTGCATTAATTGTACCCTTAAAATACACTATGGTATAGAATTGGTAATTTGGTATGCTAAATGTAATTATATCAAACCTTAAACATTGAGGGTAATAAGGTTTCCTATATGGTATAGGAATGTAAAAGTTTCTTCGTTAAAATGTTGTTGGTTTTCTATTACGTCTGTTGTCGAAAATTAAGCAGGAAATGAATTTTTGGAATACGTTTGCTTTTAGTATTACAGAATTTATTTATTTTTCTAAGTTTCAAATATTTTGGTAAGGGTGTGTTTGGTACAGATTCCAATTTTCCCATTTTAGTCGGCTTAAATGTTTGGAAAATATTTTTCTTATGAACACATTTCCACCAATTTCAGGAAAATAACTAACTTCCCTAGCGACAGAGGAAGGAAAACATTTTCCAAAAGCATCCTCTAATATATGTTTTCCAAAACAACGGTTTTCGAATTTTTGTAAACCAAACAGGTAGCTAAGTTTTTCCCAATCCAAAAATGACAAAAAAATAAGAATGAAAGAATTATCCAGAAGTAGAAGATTTCTGTTCATTTCCCTTTTAGTAATCTCTTCATCAACTCCTCACCACATATCTCTATTCTTTGAATCACAAATGTCAATTTCAACCAAGTGTTCAAATTTCCAGAGTTCCCTACAACAACTGGTAATACAAAGCTCTCTTCAAACATTCAATGGACATCTCTCTCATGAGTAAATATTTTACCTCATATATTTTCGGCCTTTTTGTATAATTTTTGCATATAACATACAGAAAGTGTGTATATATATACAAAAAATATACAAAGAATATACAGTTTTTCGGCTATTATTTTGAAAGCGGCTATATAGTGTCTTTTTCCGTATAAAAAGAATCCTTCAATCTATTGATCCAATATAACCACTTGCAAAAAAGTGTCCACAAACCATTTAATTCCTAGTGGAAAAAGTGAAAAAGCAACTCGAGTTCACGGATATATCAACAAATTCATATGTTCTATTGTATAAAGTCTAGGCTGCACTAACATTTCACAAGTCAGAATTTCATATCAGAAAAGGAAAGAAGAGCAAAGCACGGGATGTAGGGGCGCAACAAGTATAAATATTACTTCTCCATTGTCCTAAAACGTACCTCATTTGAAGTCCTTGCAACTTGACAGAGAGAGAATAAAGAGTGAAATACCATGTCAGTTGAGGCTCTTGCAATGGCGGGTGCAGATTACAATAAGTGCAACGTTCACTTAGAAGATATGGAGCAGAGGAACTCGGAGAGGACACCACAGCATCTTCTTGCTGATGAAAGTGAGGGAGGAAATCGCCGTCACAGCCAATGGTCAAGAGGACATGCATGGAGAAAGGCAAACAACAATGTTCAAGCCGAGGCCACAGCATCTGCAAATGTAAAACCAGTATCTAGTCTCGGACAAGAAAATCGTACATATTACTTTTAGGTAACCAAGAGGATTAGGCTTCCTTGTGATGTAATCCGCTACCAAAGTATGTGAATTCCAGGAAAGCATAACCTCTTCATAATGACTATGTGAACAACGACAACAACAACAACATACCCAGTGTATTCCCACAAGTGGGGTTGGGGAGGGTAGTATGTATGCCGTCCTTACCCTACCTTGTGAAGGTACAATGACTATGTGAAGTAGAACATAAATATTGCATATTAGATAGCCACTTATACATAGCAAAAATGTAACCTTTTCCCTGCAGATATCAACAAAGACATGTGAAAGAAATATTTTACTAATCAGTTCTATTTTGGGATTAGTGCATCTGATGCAAACGTACAATAACAAGAATAGTAGAGACCTTCAGATAGAGAAAAATGAATTTCTATAACAAGGATTAATGTTACAATTTGCATAGACAGATGGGGAAAAAAGAAACAGAAGAAACAAAAAGAAAACGGTTGATACATTACGTCGCTGCACAGGTCAAGCATACAGGAAAAAGAATTGATTAAATAAGAGAAGCACATGAAAAAAGATACAATCAAGATATGGCACAAGCAATATTAAAACATCGATTGCATGCCATTTAGCAACCAGCTCTATGCATCAACGAGACTATTACAGGAAAGTATGTACTTGTTTGGAAATACAGATTTGTCATCTTCCACCAGATAACTCAACGGCGTCCTGATTATAGATTGAATCTTCGCCCCAGTCAAATCGTCGTTGTAGTCTCTCGTATTCTTGCCTACGTGTAACTTCGACATGCTGCCATTCTTCCCACCGCTCAGCAAGCCCTTCTCCTTCCAGCATTCGTACTACCTCTGACATTGCTGGACGGTCCTCTGGCGATCCTTGAGTGCAAAGCAATGCAACTTGAATCATCATCTCTACTTCATCCATATTATAGTTTTTGTGCAGATTGCGGTCAACAATAGCATCTAGCCTTTTCTCCCTTTGCAGTTTTTTGACCTTCAAGATGATACATGCAGTCATTTCAGTAACCAATACTACAAAAAAAGGTCCTATAAAAGCTAAGATTACGGAGAGCTTATCATGCAAATTAAAATCTAGGTTTAGGGTCCATGCCTGCAGGAAGCAGATTAAAAACTTTTGCATCTTCTGATTGTTATTTCACTGTATTTCTGCTAGTTTACCTTAGTCCTAATTCCTAAAAAGAGTGTCCGACAAAAGGCTCAAGTTTTAAGACCTATGTCTGATATGCAAAGCATTTGCGTAAGAATGCTATGTGGAAAATGAGACTTCTTTTTGGTCCTTCCCGTTGAATATCAAGATTACAACATATATATCAAGAAAGAAAAGATAACCGAATTATATAATTCATGAGGATTTCTTGTAACGGACAATGAGCTTCCACCAGACCACCACCATGCAGCTTAAAGAAGAGTGGAAGTATAATCACCAAAGGTAAGATGATAAAATAGAACTTAGAAGAACTGAATTGTTTTAGATGTCATTGTAAAAGTAAATATGCAATAGCCACTAGGAACTACATCTCTATAACAACCTCGTTTGTTTCGGATATTTTTGGATGTTATAGCAAATTGTTGTTATAGAAAAAATATATTATAATAGCACATGAGATTTGGTTCCGGAAAAATTTGGCTTTTATATAGAAGTGTTGTTATATAAGAATAATGTTATAGACAGGTCTGACTGTATATGCAGATCAACAGAATCAGAGTTAGTATCAGTCGTTGAGTTATGTACACTTACATGGTCAAGTAACAAGACATCATCTTCTTCTTCTAGGCGTGAGAAGTCTATTGCACGTTGACCAGTTACAATCTCCAAAAGCATGATTCCATATCCAAAAACATCAGTTTTTTCTGATGATTTCCCTGTGGACAAGTACTCGGGAGCTATATGGCCCATTGTACCACGAACTTGAGTTGTCACATTGGTTTTCCTAACATCAACTAACTTTGCCAAGCCAAAATCACCAACTACAGCTTCAAAATCTTCATCTAGTAAAACATTAGCTGCTTTAACATCACGGTGAATAATTTTTGGATTACAGTGTTCGTGCAGGTACTCAAGTCCACGTGCAGTGCCCAGTGCCACATGCTTCCTGGTTGCCCAATCTAAAACAGTTTCTCCAGGTTTAATTTCTGCATTTGATAAAATACTACAAATAAGCCACAAAAATCTCATCACTTCTGGGAGAAAACAATGTGAACTTTAAAGCTTGACTGACTACTGCATCCGTCATCTTCAATTCATGCAAGTTTTCAAAAACTCACCTTTTCGGGAAAATTATGAATGCACAAGAATGGATTCACGAACTCAGTTAACCTCTCATTATAGAAACCGACCTCAATTCATGTTGCAGAGTTCCCTTTTGATGAGGTATAATTCAATATGGCTTTTTGAAGACTAAAGAGAACTAAATGATTCTACAAAATATTAAGAATATTGAGCACCTATGCACTACTCCTTTATTAATTTTCTCTGGGAAAAGCAGGAAGCACCCCAGAATTTTACTCATGGTTATCTAGCCGAAGGCCACCTAAACTTCAAGTGACTATTCACAAGTCTAAACAAAAAGAATCAAGAAATAAAACATGAGAAAGGAACTTGAGTGAAAATGTGTCCTCCTATAATAAACATATAATCTAACTCTACAAGCAAGCATCCCAAAGGTGTGGCCTAGTGGTTAATTAAGTGGATTAAGAACCATGAGATAACAAAAACACTACGTGATTTCTTCCCATCTGTCAGAGTTACTCGGTACCTGTGTTGGTGGGAGTATAGCAGGCACCCCGTGGAATTAGTCGAGGTGCGCACAAGTTGTCCCGGACATGTCCTTTTACTTTTCAGGCTTGAGAGGGTTGAAGAAAATGGTGCATCTGACTGCTTATTGTTTAGACGAAAATCATATGTAAAGGACACTTAAAGACTCTTGACAATAAAAAGTTTCAGACTTTTGTAGAAATTTAGCTGCCACAAGAGAGAATGCTCCCCTTCCTTAAACCTTCGCACCTCCCAACTATCTTTCACATCTCCAACAACATCAGTTTATATAACTTCTGTAGAAATTTAGCTGAGTTTGTTTAAAAGAGTAATAGTAACACTAGAAAAAAGATAATCCTCGGCAATTTGAAATTGAGATATACAATAGAAAGCCAACTTCAAACCATGGATATAGGCTCTACTGTGAAAAATTAAATACCTCGTAGACGATAGGCAACACTTAGGTTCTGCATATATGGGTATACTAGCAAGCGTTCAGTCGGTGTGGTGCAAAATCCTATAAGCCGCAAAAGATTCCTATGAACAGCCACACTGATCATCTCAACTTCACGCTGAAATGCAGCATCTCCCCCAGGACTCTCATAGTCGGTTAATCGTTTCACAGCAACTTTAGTGCTGTCATTGAGCACTCCTTTATAAACCTTGCCAAAACCTCCCTGTCCAAGAACATTCTTTTCATTAAAGTTATCGGTAGCAAGCTGCAATTCCCTCCATGCAAATCTCCTCAATTGACCAAATGGAATTCGCCGGTCAACCTCACCTAAACACACCAAACAAACACGAGAAAAATGTCACAACATACTCAATGGACATATACCATCTTATAGTGCACAAGACTAAAGTAATGTTGATTAAACAACTCGTCTCCAATGTAAGATGGAACTACGAGATGTAGCAATAGATAACGGCTATAGCCTTTTTCTTTTTCGAGAGCTAACAACACAAACTGAAGTTACTACAGTGAAAAACAGGTGATACAGACCTGGAACATCAACAAAGATTTCACGTTTGTAGCCTTTGTTCCTTCCCCGCCAGAAAAACAGCATAAATCCCCCAAGAAGGATAATTCCAAGAAATCCACCAACAATACCAATTACGAGCCCAGTTTTTGATTTACTTGGAGAACCTGCCAAGATTTCAACCTTTAGAATTGGCCAGGGTCCGTAAGTTATCTTAATACCAACTATCTCCAGCAAACCGTAACGTCCACATTAAGGACTTGTAATTCAAACATGTAGTATTTGCTCGTTCAATTACCTTCATTGTCAGATACACAACGATGACTGAAGTTTAAGCCACAATTCAAATGGTTATCTGAAAAACTAATAAGCAAACTGAGTTAAACTAATATCAACAGTCACGCCTCAGGCAAAAAAGGCCGGAACTAGTATAAAAAGAATGTTCAAATATATTTTCACTTGAACACTGCAAGAATCAAGATCTGCATACTTGTATTTTGGGACTTGGAACAAACTGTCAGGAACTTTTCCAGTAAGATCATTTAAAGCAAGCTGACTGTCAAAGAGCAATCACTGAATCGGGTTAATATAACATGGTACAGACCATAAACACATCAAAAATCAGACTAAATGATTCACTTACAGATTAATCAAGTTGAGAAGGCCTGAAAGCGACTCAGGGATTGTCCCGGTCAGATTGTTTTGACTCAAAAACCTGCTCAAAGAAACATTGAAGTTGACTCCTTAGCCTAACACCCAAAGACAGCTCAGTTATAGAAAAGCAATAATCAAAGAAATACTACTCCATTACTTACAGAAACTGAAGCTTTTTCAGATTGCCTAGGGAAGCTGGTATTTCTCCGGACAAACGGTTATTTTCCAGATCTAACATGGTCAAGCCGGTTAAATTTCCTAGCTGTTCAGGAATTTTACCGGTTATTCCATTTCCTTGCAAGGAACTGCCAGGATGTTGACAACCCAGTCAGTTCAGTACACAACATAACTAAAGACATGAACATTGATATGAGTTCACAAATCTCATTAAAATAGAACTTCCTCTTAACAAGGAAGAAAGCTTTATTTTTAAGGGATCTTCTCAGCAAAAGTTGAGAGTTATGACCTTATAGTGCTCATCAGAGGCACTACGAGAATAATGTGATAACTGATAAGCAATGACAATGAAAGAATATTTCACCTCGTCCATTAATGACACCATAAGTAACCTACATAAGTAACCTACTTATTTTAAGTAGAGTGATTTATATACTGATGTTAATTAAAATGCGCCCATTAACTCAAAATCCAAAGACTAAAAGAAGTGCAGAGTAATGAAAGTCCAAGAAACCTACATAAGTATATTGTAAATAGCATTCAATGGAACATGATTCAACAAGTTCTCTATACGTACAGAGTATTGAGATTCTTTAGAACACCTAATCTTGGAGTTAAAGTGCCAGCGAACCCCATATTTGATAGTGACCTGCAAACAAAGGTCAGACACCATCAAACATCACGTTTCAGAATGGTTGTTGACCAATAAAAGCTCAAGTGTTTGGGACGCAAACTGCGCCACAATCATATCATCTACAAGGTGATTAAAACAGCTCTCACAATAACTTCAAACTTACACCATGATGACATTGCTGTTGTCATCACAAGTTATTTTTGACCAAGTGCATGGGTTAACTTGATTCTGGTTCCAATCAGAAAGTTGATCACTCGAAGCGTTTAGTGACCTCTTCAATGCAAACAGTGCATCTCCTAAAACGAGATCAGAGATTACAAAATAACAGAATGTCACCCTACTTTAGTAGCAGAACAGATATAACATTTAATCAGCAGAAGAAAAATGTAGATATTATGAATACAGAGAGAACGAAAACATAGTCTAACCCATCAAAATTTTTCCTTACACATTTGAATGGTTAAAAGAAAGAAGAACGAAAAGAATACAGCGAAAGGTGATCTTTTTGTTAATAAGATAAAGTAGAAAAAGGAAGAAGTGTGTACCCTGGGCATCTGGTGCGACAAATGAATAGAGACATGATAATATCAGAACTGCTAAGAACAGTTCCATATTGCATATGAGGTTCAATTCCATAGATCAAGTAAATATGTTGCTGTTCGTTTCTGTGACATAAAGCACCATCTTCCTTGGTATATTGAACAGGTGATGGTTCTGAAAAATATATTAGAAAGATTAATAAGATCAAAATTAGTAAGCATAAAGAAATATGGAAAAGAGATATCCGATCCTAGAGGGAGAAGAATAAAATAGTGGTCAATGATATAGATCAATCACATGAAAAGCATAATTACGGCGCTACATCAATACCCATCTATTAACAAAACTTGTAGGATAATGTAGATAACATGTAACCACAACATAACACATACGTCTAACTGAAAACCCCTATTGAGCAAACTGTAGCAGTATTGAAGAATCATAAAGTTAACAGGAGTTGAAAGAACAATTGAACATTTGTCATTTCCATTCAAACAATTCTTCAGCTTCTACCAATAATGCCAACCATCCCAAAAGACCAATTGATTCACAAATTTCAACAGTTAACGAACCTATCCTTTTCTTTCCTGAATAAAAACCAAACGCCGGCATTTCCTCGGTTGTCTGTAGGATATGGGACCACAAGAAATTCATGAAATGCAGCTATAAAAATCCTGCTAAATAAAACTGACTATGTAAATAATCAAATCACCTTTTCCAACCATAAGAATTCTTAAACCTTAATCAGACTCACCAAAATCCAAGTTTCTGTCTTTTTCCATTTCTCTTGCCTATGGTTAAAAATTCAAATATACCTTCTTTTACTTCACCATATGTATCAGAAAAACCCAACAAATACAAACAAATCCCAACTCCCCCTCTCCACCACTCAAAAAAACAAAGAAGCCCACTTCCTCAATTTTCACAAGATCATCAAGAACAATATTCTCCAATTCCAGTTCTCACAAGCAAAAAAGTTCACTTTTTAACTTCCTTAATCCAAGTCAAATCACAAACCCACCATATCTAAAGATTCAAACTACCACTTTTAACATATTAAGCAAATAAAATAAATGACAGAATATGATAGAAAGACTAAAACAAGAATTTGAGCTGGGTAAGTTAAGTACCTTTAAACAAGCACCAGACTTTAGAGCTGAGAATGAACAAAGGGTGAATGAAATAGCAGAATTTGAACCAAGATTGAAACTTTACTTTGTATTATTACAAAAAGGGAAATATTGCTTCAACAAAATCAAATCTTGGAGAGGAAAAAAACAATACTAATGAAAGCAGCTCTTCCCTTTCTTTCCTTTTTTTTTGGGGGGGGGGNTCCTTTTATTCACTCTTTCTTGTGCTGTAAATGAAGTTGTAAATGTAAAAGAACTTAAAAGAAAGCTTCTTTTTGGCTTCAATATTAAAGAAAGCTTATATCTGCATATGGTCTCTGCAATTATTACGTTAGTCTTCTCTTCTGTCTCTCCCAACAGTCTCTCTTAGTTCCCCCCCACCCCCACGCCCAACCCCCCTATGGTGGCTAACTGGAAGTGGGGTCCACTTCCTTTTACTGGTAGTAATAGTGAAGAAGGAATTAATAAATGGAAGGATCTTTGGTGTTTCACAGTGAGAGTGTGGTGCAATGTTAGGATATTTTTAACGTTAGTGGGCGTTTGGACATAAAGAATTATAAAATTTCAAAAAAGAAAATAAATTTTTTTAAGTGAAAATTAGAGTTATGTTTGGAGATGAATATAATTTTGGATTGTTATTAAATTTTTATGAGTGATATGAGTGAAAATTTTGAAAAATAACTTTTTAGAGTTTTTAAAATTTTCGAAAAATTACAAAATTCATCTTTAAATGAAAATTAAAAATTTTATGACCAAACACAGATTTCGAAAAAAGTAAAAAAAAATCAAAATAAATAAAAACAAAATCTGACGTAAAAACGGGTAGACTCGGATTCGACTCAAAATAATTTCTTGATTAAAAATAATTTACTTCTTACTAAACTTACTCAATATAAATTTGGATTAGTGAATCTGAAATATCAGATGTTTTAAATTTTAAATAAACATAATATACTAAGGGGGTAATTCTTAGTGGAAGGGGCCCCTTATTCTAATTATTAATAAAAAATTCTTCCACTTTAGAAAAGGGAAGGGGGGAGGGGGGGATCCAAAGTTTTTGTTAAAATCTTTTTGTTGATAATTAAGGTATTATGGAGTAAAGAATAAAATTCTACTTTTAGGATATGAAAAAGTTTCAGTCAGCTATAATAGAATTTGAAGCTGCATTAAAGCATAAAGAAGCATCAAACCTTTTGTTAAAGGATCCATTTGTACATAAATTCCTAAATATTTATTGAAAAAGCTGATAGTTTTGACATGTTAAAAAAATCAACTAAAAGTGTCAAATGCTCATAATTTCGCCTAAAAAAGAGGTCTTGGATTTCAAAATCTTTCAAAAATTAGACTAATTCTATAAACAAACACATATTTGAAAAAAAAAAAACTCTCAAAACTTATGGTCAAATGCCTACGAAAACTTATGGTCAAACGCCTACGAAGCTAGTGTTTAGATATAGATTGATTATTGAAACTTAAAAAAAAAAGAGTTTTTGAAGTAGTAGTGTTAAAATTAATTTTTGAAAATTGAAATTGTGTTTCGACATACATTTTATTTTATTTTTAAAAAACTTGAAATTTTGTGAGTGGAAAAAAAATTATCCAAAAACTGCCATAAACTAATTTTTGGGAACTTGATAACAACAACAACAACCCAGTATAATCCCACTTAGTGAGGTCTGGGGAGGGTAGTGTGTATGCAGACCTTACTCTTACTTTGGGGTAGAGAGGATGTTTCCAAATAGACCCCCGGCATCCTTCCCTCCAAGAACTCCTCACCTTGCTCTTGGGGAGACTCGAACTCACAACCTTTTAGGAATTTGATAAAAAAAAATTAAAATATTTTCAAAAACTTATCATATTCCATGAACAAATAGTGTTTTAAAAAAATGAAAAAATATACCTAAAAACTTTGGCCAAACAAGTGCTAACTGTTAGGCATTGCGCTATAGAACTACAAATTCCAAAGTTGTAAAAGAAACTAAAATTTGGATATGCCTTTTTCAAACTTCTAAAAGATAAGTTTGCAAAAGTCAATTGCACAAATCTTTTGCCTTTTTAACATTTTCAGGGTCAAGAAACTTACTAGTATAGTACTTTATTAAAAAAAATAAACCATAGATTAACTCATTATTGAGAATATTACAAACAACTTTTTAAATGTTAAAGTCAATTTCCCAAGGAAACAAGATCCAAAGTGGCACTTCACTTTTACCTAACTGAAAGAGACTGAGTTTGACTTGAAAAGAAAATAAAAGGATCCCAAAATATTGACAAAAAAAGAAGATAAAAAATACAAAAATATTGACCAATTATATCATTGGCCACTTGCATATAATACATAACTTAGGAAGCACTTACCTAGACTATCTTTTTCTTTTTTCTTTTTATTTTGATTGAGGGAGAAAAAAGGATAAGTTTTTACTTGTACCTTCCAACACCTTAGTTACAAATAAAATAACTAACGCATATCATTAAAGTTTATATACCAGAGGTAAATGTACACCGAAAAAGTACTGAGAAAAAGTTGTTAGACAGGATGGCATATTTTCAGCTTATCGAAAATATGACCCTAGATAGAATATATGGAGGACAAGGATTAGAATAGAAGGTTAATAGGTAGTCGAGTTTGAGATACCGTATTTGTCCCGTACTTTTCTTATCACTATGACTGTTATCATTCTCGTATTATCTATTTTTCGGGCTTTATTATTACATGTTATTTTCCTTTCTTGGATTTTCTTATTGCTTTGATGTTTTATTGTTGTCACTGTTTTTGTCTTTATTACTCTTAATATGGCTTTTTCACTATTATATTTCTTAAACCTCAGTGGTGGAGCCACATTCAACCGAGGAGTATGAATCGACATCCCTTCGCCGGAAAAATTATAATGTATTATTAGATAAATATTTTTATTTTATGTATATTTACTATAGATTAACTCCCTTTGATTTTACAATGTATTTAGATTCTTATATTTTGATACCATTTAATAAAAATCTTGGCTCCACCATTGCTGCAAAGAGATACTTTCCTTACCCCATCGTCTATCGGAAATAATTTCTTTAGCCCATCGTCTATCGGAAATAATTTCTCTACCTCTTTGAGGTAGAATAACGTCTACGTACACATTATCATTTCCAAACCTCACATTGTATTATTGTTGTTGTTGGCGGCATAAATACCACGTGTTAATTAATAAGTCTTTTGCATAACATTAATAGATCAAAATAAAATCGAATGATATTCGAGTACTATGTGGATGAGTGGGTCAACATGGTCGAATAAAAATTGATTATAAAACATAACATGTCTTAAATGCTACCTAACAAAAAAAATGGATTACCATAATTTTCATAATAAATAAGTATCCACTTGTTTCTTAAAACTGAAGCACTGAATATAATTATGACAGAAAATTCTCCTAACAATTTTCGAACCAATCAATTGGTCAAAGAGCAAGTGATAATGTGCCCACATTCAAAATTGTCAGCTCTTTTTTAATTATTATTTTAATACTGATATTGCTTTCTTGCCAGAAATAATGATGGCCCTTTGTTTTTTTAATTCTAATTGTTCCTTTTTTTCTTTTCTTTTTTTGTCATCAACAATATAATAACATGTAATAAAACAAGTGCTTTTAAAAGTTCTAAAACAAGATATAGAACCCGTTTGGATTGGCTTAAAAAAGTGGCTTTTAAGTATAAGTGCTTAAAAGTACTTTTACGTGTTGGAGCTTGTTTTATAAATAAGCAGTTAAGTGTTTGGATAAAAGTGCTGAAACTTAAAAAAAGTTGTTGAAGTGTTTGGTAAAAAAAGTTGTTAAAATACTGAAATATCCTTAAAGTTGTTAAACTATAAAAAAAATAATTACGATAATATTTTATTCTAAATTAATACATATATAAAAAAATTATAATTTAGTTCATTTTCAATTTAAAACTGATTGCCTAAATATAAATTATTTATTTAAATAACATGCAATAATCTATTATTTCACCAAAAAAATATTTTTTCAGCTCATAGCTTCAAATTCTTTGTTAATATGTAGACTCATAGAAAATTTTGATTTAGAATATAGTTTTTCCAATCTAAAAAAATGAGGGATTCAACAGCAAACTTTTAAAAAAAAAATGTTATGGAACCAAAAAAGAAACTAAAACAAAATAATGTATCTAAAATATTAAATGTATCAAACATTTACAAAGCTACAGTTGGCTTTACGTTCAACTTCAAACAAATTGATAAAATTTTGGGGAGTGGCAGCAGAGATGACAAGGATTTATTAATTAGTAAGGGAAGGATAATTTTGGATTTAGAAAAAGTAAAAGGGATAATAACTCTACAAAGAACAAAACATTGTTGAATAACTCTACAAAGAACAAAACACTATTTTTTCACTCTCATGAATCCAAAACCAAAAGAGTTCGGCAGTGATGGAATTTGGAAGGCACACATTGGAAATGACGAAGGAAAGAAGAAAAAGAAAAGATTATGGAATTTGGAAGGCAGAGATTGAAAATGGCGGAGGAAAGGAGAAAAAGAAAAGATTGGGGTATTTTGAAAAAATTATACATAAGTATCAGGGATAGCAATATAAAATACTTTGTCAAAGAGGGATGGCTTTTAAGCTAGAAAAAAAAAAGGTTGGGATTACCCAACTTATCACTTTTGGCTTAATTTGGATCTTTTGACTTAAAAGTATATAACCTTTAAGCAGATTTTAAGTTTGTCAAACACCTCAATAAGCTAAAAAATAACTTAAAAGCTGGTTTCCCATCCAAACAGGCTCATAGAACTTTTACCATTAAACATTTAATGGCAGGATATGTGACAATTATTTAGTATTAAGAATTAAGTGACAATTCAATGATAAAATAATTTAATCTTATACAAGTGCATGGTTCGGCTCCACAAAATAAAAAAGTTTAATACAAATTTCAGTATTGTGCGTGAAAGAAAATTTGGGCTTTAGTAGTTTAATGGAAATATTAAAAAGGAAAAAAGAAATATTGGATTTTTTTTCATGGGGGAGAAAATAGACTAATGGATATTTATGGGTGTTATTTTCTTTTTTAATAAATTTGGTATTACGTCATTTTCAAAGGAATGAAGTGTTCTAGTTTTCTGAATTACGTTATTTTATGTATAACGTTATTGTATTATCTATCAATGGCTAGATTCCGTTCACTTTGCATCTTAATTAATTATATATAAGGAAAAAATAATTTAACTTTAAGCATGGATTAAATAGTTGTTTGTGTCATCTAGCGGCGAAACAAAATTGTTGCAAGATGTAACTAAAATATAAAGAAGTAAATATACAAAAAAGTTAAAAAAAAACTCA